GCTTTGTTTGTTGACTTAAATCATTCTATTCTCCATTTAAATCCTATCCCTCACATTCTCTTCTCTTCTCTTCTTTCTCCCTCTTTTAGGAGTCCTTGGGGGCTCTTGCGGGGGTGGAGGAGAGTGATACATCGCTATGTGGACTGAGCCTTATATATCACGCCTGGTGGAAAAGTTGTGACATCACAGTGGGCCGTTTTGGTGTCACACCTTTTCACCAGTTTTTTAATCAAAGTCTATTTGTAAGGGTTACTGACGGTCCTAATCATGAATATGGTACTAATTATTCATGCTAACTCCATTTTGCGCGAATTTTGAAACGTCAACTCGAAATGCAAAAATTTGTCACCACGAGGAATCGAACTAGGGACCCCTTTTCTGGTATTCAGAGGGCCGTTCAGGAAAAATGAACCGGCTTGGTGTCCCTATATAATCGTACACTTATGGTTAGAGCTTATGCTCTGAATGTAGATCAGAGATGCGGCGTTCCGCAACAAGCCTTATCAACGAAGTTTTGTTCTATACGAGTTTTATGAGCGTCGTGCATGCTGACCTAAATATCCTTAATGTCACATCATAAGCGGGTTGCTCTAAGCCCATACAGTGCAGTGAAACGACTGGTAGAAAAGGCTTACAGTCTCCTTTTCAGAGTCTACATTCTCAAGTCGTTGTTACAATGGTAGTAGCAGCTGTAACTCACTCTCTGATGGACCCATGGAACGGCTCCTTTGACGAGTTCTACGATCACATACAACCACATCTCCAAGTCGTCCATTCGACTCAGTTCCCGATTCAGGTAGGCATTCCTTGGAGCGTATCTAAAAAGAATTCGCGGCTCGTGATATTTCTTCTGATGCTTGCGTTTCTAATCGATAAGCCGTTTAGGTTTTTGGTTGCAAACTAACTACAGGGGTGGGCGAAAAACTACGTGCCGCCATATAAACATCACCTAACTTCATTTTTGCGTCTGTAGAAACATGTCGAGGAAATCAATTTACAAAAACAGCGAGACTAAGACATTCATTTATAAGAAGGCTCTCTAAGTAAGCCACTGTCACTTGTATAGGTCCGAATTCTTCACTTCGACATGAAGTCGATGGTGCGCCGAAGCTGGAGAGTCCTCTGGTTTTACGAGAAAAGAAGTCTCACGTTAAGCAGCTTAAAACTCCTGAATTCACCTTCAACTTTCTTCGCTCAGCTCTTAGGAACATTCGTAATTGAAACATACCTGCGAGAATTCCGATCGCTGAAAGTTTGATGATTTGGAGCAGTATCAGTGCTTTGGACAAGCCTCCGTTGATTTTCAATCGATAAAATCATAACAATCAAAGTACAGACCAATCATGAGGAGGTAATAAAGAAAGCTCTGTACTCTGGAAGCACATCAATGTAGTCGTTTCTAGACGGAGTGGGCTGCCAAGCACCATTGTGAACTTTTTTTGGCGCACTTAATTTTTCGCATCCTTATTAATACAACGCAAAGAGGCCACCAAAATTTAATGAGCTTGATTTAGCAAATTAGTGGCTTGCCTACCTTGCTTTCCCTATGTATTTCGATGGTTTTTGTCGTGGGGGTTTGTGTGTGCCGTCAGCTTCTCGGTACTGATGAGCTAGTCCAAAGTCGAGAATGTACACCTAGACATTGACAGTTGAAGGTTTTGAAAGCTAGATGGATTAGAATGGACGCTATCGCAATATACGGGGGCATCCTCTAGGACCAAGCATAAGAGGGGACAGGAATTTTGAGGAAAACGAAAAGGCTGACTAACCATGGAGTCTCTCCTTCCCGCCTAAGGCTTAGTCCCGTTTGCAAAAAGGACATTTTTCACGAGTTTTAAATGCTTACCACCACAATGCCCCCGTATCTTGCGATAGCGCCTTAGAATTCTCCTTTACTAACATTTCGTAGATCTTTCGGGTCGCCATTGATCACTCGTCCTATGGCAAACGTTGAAGGGTTCACCGAGCGATGAACGAAGCCCACCTTAATAAAAAGAAATCGCAGGAATTTCCGTCCAACTTCTGTTGATTGAAATGGATGACTTAAACCGAGTTAGTGGAACGGGCACGCCGACTAGGCGCGAAATGTATGTACGTAGGGAGTGGTGCCCACTTCTGTAACTTGGCGGGACGCTATGGAAGTAACTCACACATTCCAGCTTTTCACGCTTGTCATAAATTGCCCTCAACTCCAGCCCCTGAATTGGCTACATGCCTCCCTAGTCACAAATTCACTCGATTTTCGTGACCGGGCAGCAGTCCCCACGTACACACATTGCGCCTACCGTATCCAAAAATTGGCGTGTACGCATTACACCAAAATTCTATTCATTTCACGATTTTGATTTTACTAAATTAGAGCTGACAGGCGTACTTTATGCAGTTCCTCCAGTGCTTTTAAACATTGCATGCCAGCACTCAAGCCACAAGCCAGTGAGAGTTTTCCGTCTTTGCAAGCTTTACGAATGAACTGGAAATGTGAGCATTGGTATTCAAAACAATAAAACTTCAGGGATAACTGAAGAGAGGACTCGTCCTTGAAGCTACCGAAACATTAGGCTGTTTTGTTAGAGGTCCGGACCTTTTGACCATCTGCCCGAAAGATCTTTCTATTGATAGCGATGGATATTCAAGGACGAGACCTCAAGGATTTGCGAAGCAGCAAACCAGCGAACCTTAAAGTTTCGTCCCGCCAACGTGATTGCGATATAGTTGAAATCAGTAGCGGTACCGCGATCGAATACCCTAAGGCAGTTGAGGAAATAAAAGGCATTCAATGATTCAAAGCTTCTTTTACAATCTATCGAGACTGACTGGCTATTTGGGAGAGAAGACCACACGAACAGATGCAATGAAAATACTGGAACATGGATTACGCCTATTTTCATTGTTTTGCAAATGTCCTGGGCTACTGATATCTCTTCCATTTATCAACAAGGAGGGAAGAATAGC